ATCTATATATTATTTTTTTTATTTTTTTGCAATATGTTTCAAAAGCAAATCCTCTTTAATATATTTCCAGACTTTTTGTAATCTTTTCACACCTGTAGAAATGTCGGGATGGTTGATGGAATTTCTAACACTTTAGATATATCTTTTATTTTATTTTTTATTTTTTTTCCAGGTGTAACGTTTGCGGCGAAGGGTTACTTTGACGCTCTGGTAAAAATGGGAGAGTTGGCCAGTGAAAGCCAAGGATCCAAAGAGCTCGGTGAGTCTGTTCGCTCTGCACGGAGGGGGTTGACCCGACCGTCGCCTCTGCGATTTGGCGGAGAACTAGTTGGATCTGAAGGGTTGAAGCGCGGCCCCGGCTGTCTTGGTCGAGGCCTTAAAGGGGAGCCGGTTACCAATAACACTTTTTTTTTTACTTTGAACATTTTGCGGGGGCGGGGCGGGCTAGTGCATTAAATGTTTGCCAACAGGACATTTCTTGTTACCCAAAGCAGCCAATCAGATGTACAGAATCCTCATTTCATTGTCGCCCTGAATGGAAAAGAATTGGTGCTGCCGGTGTCGAATTTCTCATGGCACACTTTTCAGATATTGTCCTCCTGGCTACCGGCTACCAGTCATCAGCAGTTGTGAAGTCTGTTTTCAGTCACAGACCCTGTGCTGGTGGACTGGAGGATCAGCGGGGTACATGGAAGCAGAGCCGGCATTTATAATGAGCAGAAATTGGTTGTATGTTAAAGGAGAACTATGGGGTCAGTGTTTTTCCCCATGGTTCTCCTAAGGGTCACTGGAGGACAGAAACTAGCGTCCTCCCGTCACTCAAAGCTCAGTATACCGCGAGCTACAGCTTACGATATACCGAGACTGCCGCAGTCGGGACTGATCCCGATATTACTGTCGAGATCCACCCAGCTGCGTGATTGACAGCGGGTTCTGCCTGTGAGTGACAGTCACGGCTCTCTGCAGGGACATGATCGAGATGTGAGCGAGCGATGGTATGTGTTCGCTCACTTCCCGATTCTACTGAGCCAACGTTGGTCCCTGTGTGTGTTGTAAAGTAGTCGCCTCTCCAAGCTCGCTCCGGGATGGACTACAATCACCGTACAAATCAGTAAACTAAACATGAGATTGTAGTCCATCCCGGGGTGGAGCTTGGAGCGGTGACTACTGTACAACACACAGGGACCATGTGGAACATTAGTATCCCCCCTCCAGATGGAAGGACAGTGTCGGCACCAATTCAGAGATGATTGGAGGATCTACAGCCGAGTGACACACAAAAAAGATACATTGTTGCTCATAGTTTGGGTACTTGAATGACTTGCTCTGAAAAGGCGGCAGAGTTTAAAAAGAAACAAAAAGGTTTTTTTTTTTTCTTAATGGACGTAATTAATAAGTCAGATTGTGAAAAAGATTTTGACTTGGAATTGTCTGCTGGCTGGTCATGAGTGAACACCTGGACTGGTGAACTCTCTGATCCTCTGTGGCTCAGTGAACTGAGAAGTTAATATTGTTTAGGGCTGCAACAACTAATCGACATAATCGATTATAATCGATTATTGAAAAAGTTGTCAACTTTTTCAATAATCGATTAATCGGCTTCTGATCAGTTGGCCCTGTTCACGGCTCCACACGCTGTGCGCCGCACCTCCTCCTCACCTCACGCTCGCCGCTGCCAGACCCGCTCGCATCCACGCTCCACACGCCGCACCTCCTCCCCGCCTCACATTTCCTGCCCATCCACATCCACGATCGGCACAGGGACGCGGGGAGATGTAGTAAGGAGGAGCAGGTGTGGGGGGATGACAGCTGCTGATAGACAGGTCCGATCTCAGAAGCAAGTTGCTGGAAGACTGCTCAGGTAAGCCTGCACTTTCCCCCACATGGTGCTCTATAATGTATTGCTGGGATTTGTATTCCTCTATAGCTGATGGTACATTGTGCTGTATATTATACATAGGAATACAAATCCCAGCAATACATTATACACTGTATTGCTGGGATTTGTTGTACTCCTCTATAGTTGGTGATATTCTGCATTGCGCTGTATAGAGGACTACAAGTCCCAGCAATAATACATTATACAGCGCAATGCAGAATACCACCAGCTGTAGAAGAGTACAACAAATCCCAGCAATAATACATTATAAAGTGGTACAATGCTAAATACCACCAGCTATAGAGGACTACAAAACCCAGCAATAGTACATTATACAGCGCAATGCAGAATGCCGCCAGCTATTATGTACTATTGCCGGGATTTGTTGTATTCCTCTATAGCTGGCGGTATTCTGCATTGTGCTGTATAATGTGCTTTTGCTGGGTTTTGTAGTCCTCTATAGCCGTTGCCATTCTGCATGCATTGCTGTATAATTTTACACTTTCCATTTCACTATATTGCACACCACACTATCTATTTTTTTCTTTTTTACTTCCACCGGTCCAAGCTTGCTCCTGTGATGGACTACAACCTCAATACAAACTAGTAGTCCATCACTGGAGCCATTTTTAAACTTTATTTTATAGTTTATCCGATTAACCGATTAATCGAACTTAATAATCGGCTAACTAATCGATTTTGAAAATAATCGTTAGCTGCAGCTCTAATATTGTTCAATCTGTGAAGTCTTCAGAGTGCTGTGACGAGAAATGATATTGTTGGGTGTCTGATTATGAAGCAGCAGTGTGATGGCGGTGAACTCTCTGAACCTCCAGGTCTCATGGACTGAGACATTGATTTTGTTGGGTGTCTGGTCATGGAGTACCAGTGTGATGGCAGTGAACTCTCTGAACCGAGAGGTTGATATTGTTGGGTGTCTGGTCTTGGAGGACCAGTGTGATGGCAGTGAACTCTCTGAACCGAGAGGTTGATATTGTTGGGTGTCTGGTCATGGAGGACCAGTGTGATGGTGGTGAACTCTCTGAACCTCCGTGGTTCTTGGACGGAGAGGTTGATATTGTTGGGTTGGGTGTCTGGTCATGGTGAACTCTCTGAACCTCCGTGGCTCATGGACTGCGATGTTGGATCTATAGATTTACTGTGACAAGAAATGATACGTTTATATACATAGATGGGATATCGGTAAAAAGAGGTTTACCCTTCAATATTTGGGTGCACTGTTACTTTGCACTGTTATATTTTATAAATGCTGTCACCCAAAGATTAATCCAAAATTCACACATGTTTTAAATTGGATTCAGTTGGAAAAATGTTTAAATCCTGGGTGACAACATTTTATAAATAGACCCACTAGTGATGCCGTGCTTGGATGGGGAGGTGGGTGCTGTGCTTGGATGGTGAGGTAGGTGCCGTGCTTGGTTGCTGTCATTTATAAAATGTGCTTTTGTAAGGCCTCTGTAGGGTATTGATTTTCTGCTGCCAGCTGAGACATACAGTGATGATCGGTGATATTTCTGCTCTGCTAAGCTCTTGGAATGAAGGTAGAGAAGACTCGGCAAGTTGATCTGCTCACCTTCTCCCATGCACAAATAATTGTAAGCCTTTAGTTTAGTGTTACTGGCTGCATTCGAGGCACGGTGGCTCTGGTTATGTTAGTCTGGGCGGATCTAGACCTCTCATTTACCTATTCCAGCACTAGGAAGTTGGGTTGAGGGATTTGCGTACAGCTGGGCACAACAGAAACTCTGAAGCTGGTTTGGTACCTTTTTTAGGCTGGGTTCACACCTCAGCGTATTGGAAACTCGCGTTTGCCGCGCGTTTCTACCGCGATTTGCGGTAAAAGAAACGCACGTTTCCGAGGGTGTATCCAGCTGATAATAGCGGGATACGGGCGTTCATACGCCCCAAAGAAGCTCATGTACTTCTTTTGGGCGTATGGCGTTTTACCACACGATCGGGCGGTAAAAACGCGCAGGTGAGAACCATGCCCATAGGCAAACATGGGTTTTCACCTGTTGCGTGTTTTACTGAGCGTAGGAACGGGGCCTTATGTGTAAAATTGCAGATGTGGCCTATGCAGGTGGGAGGTGGAGTGTCTGTTCTCTTCTGCACATGTTCCCTCCAGAACTTCAGGTGCTCTGGGACAGTTTGGCATACAAAGGGTGACCAGGATACAAATGACTTCTTATAGACAACAATAGAAACTTGGCCGGGTCACTTTGCATATCCTGACACACCTGATTTGTTACATTAAACCTGCAACCGGCCCAAACAACTGAACTCCACCCTGACCTGGAGCCAAATCTAAACCAGGCCGTGTAATGGAGACGAGAGCCTGAACATGTCGGTTTAACAACTTCCTGTCCGTGTCCTGTACAGTGTGACAGGCGGCATTTTTCAGGAGAAGGTTGGAATTGCAATCTTTGTAATCATAAGACAAGACAAAGTATAACTATAAATGCTTCAAGTTTATCTGGACCTAAGAACATGAAATCTATTGCAGCTGACCGGTCCGGAGATGTGGCGGCTGCATTCGTTTTTTCCAGGCTTTTTATTCATTTATTTTCACCTGGTGATCCTTCCAGTAACACTTCCTGTCCTAGGGTGACAACGCTCACTCACTGTATGTATGGAGAAACAGCGTCCAGCCTTCCTAGTAAGGACTACAGAACCCCTCCTTCTCTAAAAGCCATAAGGGGGAGGTGTTCTGTTGAAAAGTGACAGCCGGGAACAATGTAACTGATAAGAGTGCAGCACAGAAGGTATCAACTCACTGGACTTCTGGCGTGATCAACTGATCCTCTTTTATTTTTGCACATATTGAACAAATATTACGGGACTCTTTTTTTTTTTTTTTTTTTAAAAGGGATATTTTAATGGGCCAAAAAGGAGCAAATACAAAGTTCATTCCTGGGATCTGTATATCATTCACATTTATAAATCATTTACATTGTACTGCTAAAAAATAAAACCTCTACAAAGGCTATATGTACATTATCGGTCTCCGGCCTCTTCCCCCCGGCCCAGTCATTGATTTCTGATCATTCTTTTCTTCTCTCACAAAATAGATCACATCCCTCTATCCTGTGCTGAGCGCCCCCCCATCACCATCCCCAGCATAATGCCCTACAGAAATAGTCAGTGACAAATGTCCTTGTGGCCGGGCTCTCTCGCTCTCTCTCCATGTTCCGATTCATGTATGAGATCTGTTTTTAATGCTGCGTTTCCTTGAACAATGAACAGTAACGTTGTATCGTGAGGAGGGTGACAATTGTGCTGCAGATCTGTGGGCTGCCGAGAAGGAAGTCAACATTTTATTGTAGATGCGTCTTCCATGTTTCACTGAGGAATATGCTCTT